CAGGGCAGGGCAGTGTTCAAGCCCAAAGTCCATCCCCCCCAACAAGTCATGTGATCTCGGATTATATAATCACTTTGTCACTAAACAGCTAGAACTCAAGACCCAGGGAGATGAGTCAGCAGCCCAGTGGCAGATAGGACCCAGGTGTTCTGGTCTCCCGTGCTCTTTGGTCCTCTAAACAGATCCCCAGCAGAGGCCCAGGGAGTGGGAGAGACATAGTGTAAGTGTAAGGGGCATAGGCTGGGCATCCCGGGAGCAGGTGCCCAGCCTGGTGACTGTGCTCTGGAGGGCCCTGGGCCAAGCCTGGCTCTTCCTGGGGAGAGCAGAGGTAGCCAGGGCAGGGCAGGGCAGGAGGGCTGGGCAGGGGCCAGGCTCAGGCCTGTGGGCAGAATGCCAGGGCTGGGAGGGAGCAGCTGGAAGGGTGGAGTGACAAGAGGATTAGGAGGATTGCAGGGGTTAAGGCACAGGCCTGGCAGGACTCAGTGGGAACAACGTGTCCTTCCATAGCCCCTGGGAACAGGAGTGGGGGGTGGGGGTGCTGAGTTCTCCTGGCATGCTACAGGGCTAAGCCACCTGGGCAGCCTGGGAGTCCCCACAGGGCAGCAGGAATTTTTCCTACCAGGTAGGCATCGCCACCTCTTCCTTTCTCCTTCCCTCCCTCCGTCTGTTTTAAACTGTACTCCTCATAGACTGGCCTTTTCTAGGTGCTTATGCAGGAGTCGTGGCTGCTGACCACAAGGTCAGCAGTTTGAAACCACCCGCTACTCTGAGGGAGAACGATGGGCTTTTACTCCTGAAAAAAAGTTGTCCCAGCGACCCACAGGGGCAGTTCTACCCTGTCTTGTAAGGTCAATATGCATTGACTCGATGGCAGTGTTTGGTTACACAGCCAGGGGGAACCTTGGTGGCATTGTGCATTGGCCTGCTAGCCACAAAGTCATCAGTTCGGACCCACGAGCAACTTCTTGGGGGTGGGGGGAGGGGGAGAAAAGAAGCTTTCTGCACCTGTAAAGACTGAGTCTCAAACACCTGGGGAGCGTGTCTATTCTGCCCTATAGGGTTGCCATGAGCCGGAGTCAGCCCAATGGCAGCGGGTATTTTTGGTTACTCAAGCATGGAGGTGAAGCCCTTGGCTTCTAACTATTAGATCGGAGGTTCGACACCTCCAGCCCCCAGCCCAGCCACACCAAGGGAGAAACATGTGGCAGTCTGCTTCCTCGAAGACTGAAGGCCTTGGAAACCCCATGGGGGCAGTTCTGCTACGCACTGCAGGGTCACTTGAGCCTGCTATTCCAAGCTCACGCTAGCTATTAGGATCAATGTGCAGGGTGGGGGAGGACTGAATTGGGCTAGAAGTGGAGCGTGCTTCGGACCTCCCTTTATTAAGACTAGGAGTCTGGGTAGCACTGTGGCTCAGTTTGCTAACTGCTGTCTGCTCCGTCTGTGAGATTCACCTATGTTGGGTGGCTGTGGGCAGGAACTGTTTTTGGTTACTATATGTGTCAGCTGGAGTTCAGGCCAGCTGCACAGCCCTCTGAGCCGGCCCTCAGGGCCCACTGAGGAGTCAGACCCCATTAGACCCTGTCACCCTCGTTCACCCTCCTGTTCCTCCCATTCTTACCACCTCTTGGATCTGACTGCCAACTGCTTCTTTTCCATCATTTCCTCCCCTGGGGCCCCCTGTCCCCTCATGCGCCACCAAGTTTCACTGAGCAGCCCCTCTATTTTTACTGACTGTAGATCCATCCACATCTATTGTTTGCTTTGAGTCTCAGGACGTTCCAGGGCAGGCACGGTCACTCCCTTTTATAGGTGAGGAAATACAGCTCAGAGGCCAGGTGTGCAAGGTTAAAGAGGCTAGCTGTGCCAACGGTCACAGTGGCCTGTCCCGGCCTTGAAGGATCACTCCCTTACTCACCCCCATTAGCTAACAGCATGCAGGCCTTGCTCCGTCCTCCATTTAATCAAATGGATTATGACTGCCAGCACTGAGTGCCGACTGTGTGCGGGGCATGGGCATGGGCACTCACACAGTGCCTTGGGATTTCGCAGGATAGTCTACAGAGGACAAACTACTATCAGCCTCGTTAAACCAAACCAAACCAAACCTGAGCCCAAACCTGCTGCCATGGAGTCTAAGTAGAACTGCCAAGGAAGAAACCTTTATGGAAGCAGGCTGCTACCGGGCCTCCCCCAGAGTGGCTGCTGCGCGCAAACCGGCAACTTTGTGGTTAGCGGCTGGGCACTTTAACCACTGTGCCTCTCATGAGGGAGGAGGAAATGGGTTCAGAAGCTAAGCAGCACACAATGAATGAGTGGACGGATGGATGGGGCTCCGTAACCTACCCTGACAGTGAGCTTGGTCGGGTTTTTGGTGGATGTGTTGTGAGTTCCTGGGAGGGGGTGGGGTGCCGATGCTGGGGTGGCGGAGTCTGCCCGGGGTAGTAAGTGCCCTCTTCAGGTGGCCCAGAACAGGTAGGGGTGGGGCCAGTGTCCCCTATGGAAGACTCCAGGTGACGTATGTTTGTGTGGAAGGGGGGAGGGGGGCATCCCAATAGAATCTGATCAGTAGTAAAAGAGGAGAAATCACAGCCCCAGAACAATGGTGGTGGCGGACAGGTGTGTACAGAGGTGGTCTCGAGCCTCAGCGTGGTCAGGATCACCAAGGAGCTTGTTCAATAGGCAGACTCCGAATCTGATGCAGGGCATCTGGGTGAGGCCCGGGCCCCAGGTAGTTTGAGCATCACTGCTACTGCCCACAACCTTTGCCTCCTGTGCAAATGGAGGGGGCCCCTTGGGGACCCCCAGGGTCCTGGGCGTCCACGGTGGCTAGGACTTTGATGGCTCCTGGGATGAGCAACATCAGACCGGGCACCTTCCAGTCCCAGCACAGTGTGGCACCCTGCAAGAGCACATTCCTCTCCAGGCCAACCTTGCCCTGTCGTGACCTCTCTGCTCCCACGCCTCGTCAACACCCAATGTGGCCAACCTGGCCCGGTTCGGGCCTGAATGGCGGGGAGGCCCATCTTCGGTAGCTCTCCTGACATTTCACAAGTGTCCCAGCAAGGCTGTTAAAGTTGTCCTCTGGGGCTCTTTATAACAGGCTTCCCTGCTCGTAACCCCACCGCATCCTCTGGTCCAGAAGCCCCTAACTCCCTTTGTGTGGAGAAGCCCCTCTGTGGTACAGCTACTGTTTCCAAAGCAAATGCCCTTAGAGTAGGGGCAGGGTACATAAAAAAATGGGGCACACAGAGTACCCACCCTCCTGCCCTGTGCTTGTCTGTTCATCCCTCAGTCCGGCCTTCCATGCGCCCATCCCTTTCGCTCCATTCATGCAATCAGTAGGTCAGCTGAGTGCTGGGCCGTGCTGGACGCAAGTGGGGGATCTAGCGATAAAACATGGTTTTCTTCTCCTCTGGGCACACTTGCCTGGATGGGTAATGGATAACTAGAGAAAAGAGGGACCACTCACACGCAACGCTGTGCCTGCTCTTGGTCAGGCTTCAGCTGGACGGCTCCCCTGGTTCCGGCCTGAGCTCAACCCAAAGGCAGAGGTGGTGGATCAGCTAGACACAAATGCCTGCATGCTGCTTTCTCCCAAGACACCTGAGAGTCCTGCTGTGCGGCACCCCAGGCTTGAGCCAGCTACCATGTGTGTGCCCGGATAACAGCCCTGGCTGCAGGCAGGGGAGCAATGCAACCAGAGGAAACCCCTGCCACGGGAGCACCTGGGTCTCCCCCGCCCCCACCCAGAATGTAGACCAGGATGGCGCAGGGCTTGCAGGGGACCCAGGCATGGCATGTGGAAAAGGTGGAGGTAAGCATACCAGTGTGTGTGGGTCAGGGGAGGAGGGGTGCTCAGTGTTTCTAAGAGCACGGCTGGATCCTGGCACATGGGCTTCCTAGGAGACTGGGAGAGCTGGTCCCCCAGACTGCATTGGTGGGGGGGGGGGGGCCCTGCACATCTACTGGGCCCTCACTAGGGCTGCAGGTGCACAGCGGGAGACCTGGGATCCCTCAAGCCCTTGGGAGTCCTCATTTTGGCTAGTCTACCTCAGTAGCTCCCTCCCAGCCTGTCACCTGGGACCAAGGGGTGAACTCACCATGGTGTCTCGCCCTGGGGAGCTGGAGCGGCTGGGCCCAGGGCTCTTGCCCTTCTCCCACAGAGTATAGCGGCCACTGGGTCGGTAGGTGGGGCTGAGGACTTCAGGGACTCGGGAGGGAGGGGGCTGGGTGGGCACCTGGGGTGCACTGCCCTTGCGACCATAGTTCTCCAGGTAGTCGGCCAGGTACTCAGATCGGCTAGCCGCTTGGTACAGGCCCTGCAGGGCACACAGCTCCTTGCGTGTGCGGGCCAGCATGGGGCTCCGGCCCAAGTTGCCTGGGTCTATGCAGTAGCTGTCCGAGGTCCGGAGACTGGAGAAATCCCGGACTAGGTCTGAGTGGCTGTTGGACTTCTTCTGGGTCAGCGTTACCCCCTGCTCGCGGGCATTCATGGGCAGGTAGCCGAGGGAGTTGCTGGTGACACCATAAGGTAATCGGCTGCCGCCGCTGAGTCCACTCCCTGAAGTCCAGTTAGCACCCCGGGTCTGGCTCTCGGACCGCTTACTACCCCCAATGTCAGGTCTCAGCAGGGGGCGACTGCGGTCATAGTCCAGGATGGAGGGGGAGCCGTAGGTACGGGGCCGGGTGAGGAAGCTGGAGGGGGGCCCTGGCTTGAAACCGAGCTTCTCCTTCTCCAGGAAGGAGGTAGCCAGGTTGGCCCCATAGGAGGCGGAGGAGTAGGTGCCATAGCCCGATTTGGCGTAAGGGGCGTCTGTGTAGCGGGTGGAGTCTGTGTAGCGCTTCAGGGTGGAGGAGAGCTGGGACATCCTTCAGGGCGGCACTCAGAGGGGACTGGGAGCCTCATGGGCTGAAAGACAAGGAAAGCAGTGGTGAAAGGGCCCTGCCAGGTGTCACACGCCTCTGCCTGCTCGCCACCCCAGCCGGTCCGAACCTTCCATCTCCACCATGGCCTGAACAGCCGGACCGCTGGCTGGCATGCTGCTGAGAAACTCGCACTCGCGTGTGCACGCATGTATGCAGCTACAGACTGGGGGAGCGAGATGTCGCCCCCTTGAAGACCCGTGTGCTCTCCCTCGGCAGCCCCCACTGGCTCCCAACCCAAGCCCCATCTCTCCGCTCCTCAGCGGCTACAGAGTTGAGGGGTGCCATCACCCTGACCCCTGTATAGAGAATGCTAGCCATTTTAAGAGCCCGCGCCTCTCCTGCGCATCTCTTCTGACCTGTCCCTGGGGGCTCACAGATCGTGTGGGCTGGGATTGGGATTCCTCGTGAGGAAAGGGCAGCTCACAAGAGGAGAGGACGTGATGAGGCATCCGGGGTGGCGGCGGGGGCGCCGGCAGAAGGGGCTTGAGCTCCATCCCCATGTTCCCTTCCAGAATTCGCCTCTAGCCACGAGCCACCTGCTGCTGGGTTCCACGGTGGGGGGATGGTTTCGTGGAGGAACCGACCCTCTGCACCCAGCTAAGCCTTCTGCTCTGAGTGAGGGTGGGTTCCAATAGCATCCTGGGTTTCCATGCCTCCCATTGCCGAGCGGCTAGACTTGTGCGAAGGGAGCCTCCTAGAGGCCCAAACGCCACACCGCAGGCAGCACCGCCCGCCTCCCCACCCTTGCAGTTGGGAACTGCAGAGAACCCTGGTGTTAGGAATGCGGGCCCTTCGCTAGGCCCCTGAGGTCGTTCACTGTCATCTCTGCGTTGTGCAGAGGGGAAAACGGATGATGACTGGCCCAAGGTCACCCCACGGGGGCAGAGCCTGGCACCACTCTCAGGTCCCAGTCGGAAGCTCTGGCCACTTTAGCTTGATTGACGCCTGGCTGTCAAGTTCAAGCTCAGCTGGAGATCCCAGAGCCCCGCCTAGAACTGGAAGTGAACCCCACAGTGGCTGCTGAGCGAGTCTGACACATAACCACCAGACAGGACATGCTAGAACTGCTTAGCGTTCCTGACACAGGCACTGTTCATGGTAGCAGGAGGCGGCACCTTTCTCCCTTGGAGTGGCCGGTGGGTTTGACCCATGACCTTGTGGCTAGCAGCCCAACGCTTAACCCACCGCACTACCAGAGCCCCTAGCATTCCTCCACCCACCACCTACCCTGAAAGTGTACTCTTTGTCTATAAGGGGCGCAGGCACCCAGGGAGGATTCCAGGAGGACCAGCTCTTTCCTTGAAGGATGCCAGAGGCTGTGGGCGTGAGGGGGGGGTGGGGGCTGAGCTTTCAGGGAAGACCCCCAGCACTCCCACAGTGATGTGTGCAGGTCCTGTTTTTGACTCAGCATCGTCACCAGTCATTTAACCTCCTGGAGCCTCAATTTCCTCACCTGTAAAATGAGTATAATCATCTCCACCAGGATTCCCAGCTCACACGGCTGTTGTGAGGGATCAACTGGTAATAACACGTGAAAGCCCTCGCAGTGACAATGGTGATTATCTCTTCCCTCGGCAAGCCTGTAATAACGTCAGGGCTGGCCAGCCTCTGACCTCAGCCTCAGGCGCCAGGCGCCAGGCTTCCCGCTGCACCCCCGCCCCCAGAAGCCAGCGGGCAGTGGGCAGACATCTAGCCTGTCAGCAGACGCTGGCTCAGGCACACCACAGTCTGCCCATGGCCAGCAGTCCAGCTCATTAGGACTGAGGAGCTAGGGCCAACCGCTTGGCAGGGAGCTCTAGAAACCCACCATTCAATGCTTAGGATAGGTCCGGGTGGAAGACCAACAGGTGGAAACATCGTACTGACCCCAGAAGATCACTTGGGACCCTACCAGAAGCTGCCAGTGTTTTCTGGGTTGACTGCAGAGAGGCCTGCTCCTCGCTTTCCACCTTCTTTCTACCTTTTTCCCCCCCCCACCTCCTTGACCTTCTATGCTTCTCCCTCCAGCACAACTTTAGGAAAAAGTAACTGGGGGAAAGGGTTCAGGGAAGCCACAGGCTTCCTTTCAGTGTATTCAGCTTTGGGGGGCACAGAGAAGAGAGGGGGTAAGGCTGCAGAGGAGGAGGGGATGGTGGGGGGTAGGGATGGGCAGACAGGCTGAGCTGGCGAGGCTTGGGAGCAGAGTCCTGCTCTATTTCACTTTGGAGAACTTCATCAATAATTCAAAGTCAAAGAGACTCCAGGTCTCAGGAGCTGGGCCCTGGGACACCAGGCAGCCAATCAGATACACCCCCCACCCACCAAGCATGAACTCATAGTTCCTCCCCTGCTCATACTCCCTGCCCCTCCCCACCCCCACCCCCTCCGAGGCTAGCAGGGAATTGGTATTCTTCAGGCAGTGCCCCAAGCCAGTGACCTCTCTGCCAGTGACCTGCTGATGATGCAGAAGCGCTGGGGGCAGACAAGGTGGAACAGAGAGGGACAGATGGCTCTGGGACAGCCTGCCTGCCTGCCCGCCCGCCCGGCCGAGGCAGCCCTGGAAGGGTTGGGGGCTGAAGGTGGAGCCTCCCCTGAGGCCTCCTAAATGCCACCCTCCCTCCAGTCTGTTCCAATCCACCCCGGGTGGCAGGAGCAGATACCCCCCACCTTCACAAACCGGGGGTGGGGCGTCACGCTAGCACCTGCTTAGCAACCCTGACATCTGACTCACAGCTTTGGGGTCTGGGGGGGACAGGGTCCCTCTGGGGGCAGAGGCCTAGAGCTGGCCCAGCTCCCCCCCCACCCCCCCATTCCACTCGAGAATATTTCCAGCACCTTCCAGGTGAGAAGGCAGCTGGGTCAGCGCCCCTCAGCGGGCGACATTACCTGGCACAGCGTCCTGGAGGCCGCATAATGCACCATGGGTGGGCGAGCCTCTCTGTGCTGGACAGGGGCGGGATGGGCCCTCACATGGCGGTGAGTCTCCCGTTGCTAGAGGAACGGGCGAAACTGAATGGCCCTTTCATGGGGCAGTGGGAGGCCAGCTGATTGGCTGGGATATCCGCCCCACTTCTGGCCAGCCCATGGTGGGGCCCCTGCTGCCCAGCCCTGCTCACTGTTTGCCTGGCCTGAGCGGCAAGTACTGGCATGCAGCTGCTGGCAGCGGCTCCCCAGGTGCCTGCCGCCCTGGGCAACAGGCAGTGCACCTGCCACACTCCCTCCCTGGTTGTCTTCACCGGGCCCCTCAATGTGTCCCTTCATGGTTAGAGTCCCTGAAACTGTGCTCAGTCTCCCCCCTTGGGCACCCAGCTTCCTGCCCTGATGTCCGAGCTTCACAGCCATCACTCTGGCCACTGGGTGCTGAGCACCGACGGCCCGCCAGTGTACTGAGGGCTTTACGAGCTGGGTCTCACCTCCTCTCCTCAAGCGCTGTAACTCTTGGTCTAGGCACAATTCTACAGAAACCACACCCTACCACTGCCCTCCAGTACTGCAGACTAGAAGGCTTTCATGGGGTCATGGAAGGCTGTGACCTTTGCGGGGGCAGTTCACCAGGCCTTTCTTCTGGGGCACCTCTGGGCAGGTTAGCAGCAGAACACTTAACTTGTGTTTGTCATACACAGGGACTCCTGGCACTATTAAGTACAGTGTCCCAGAATTCAGTGTGGCTTTAAGCTCTAATTACGGCAGAAGAATAAATGCCTTACCCCTACACATAATGTCCCTCACTGGCACCGAGTTGATTCCAACTCAATGTCACCCCAAAGGACAGGAAAACTGCCCCCATGGGTTCCTGAGGCTGTAAGTCTACATGGGAACAGACAGCCTCATCTTACTTCCTTGGGGTGACTGGTGGGTTTGAACTACTGACCTGGTGGTTAGCAGTCCAACACAGAGCCCACTATGCCACCAGGGCTCCTTACAAACCACGTTCGAAGGCCAATCATTTAAATTATGTGAACATGGTATTAGAATAAAGCTTGTTTTCTGTTGTTGCTTTTTTCCAAGTGAAAGGGGAGGTGGGAAGACTTCCACATTTACAACACTCTCCTCGGTGGCACCTCCCCAACAGCACATCAAATGCTTCAACTTTCCAATGGGGCCCCTCTGAAGCTCAGAGCGTAAAGCCACCGGGCCCTCGGGGGCGCTGCATCTCACTCCCTCAGCCTCAGAGCCCTCCAGGCATGGTGCTGTTGCAGATGCCCACGGTCAGGCTGGCTGAGAGGGTGCTCCTTCCATGGCAGCCATCCTGGAGGGGATGGGGAGGCTTTCCTGTCAGTCCCCTTACTTTACACTCCCCTGGGCTCTCCTTGGGTGGGGGCAAAGGAGGCTGCTAAGGCCTCCAGGTGTCCAGCTGGATCGTTACGGGGGGTGGGGGGCGCAGGGGAGACAGACACACAGAATCCCGCAGGAGCGGCCTCTTGGATTTTCCACTGCAGGTGAATGAAAGAGAGACCAGGTGCAACCTGAGCCCCACAACAGAACTGATGGGCCAAGAGATGCTCCGGAGCCTCCATTTCACTGCAGGTGCCAAGCTCCTGCGTGGCCCCTGGCACCAGTTCTAGCCCCAGCCAGGGCTCTGAGCCCAAGGCTCCGATGTGGACATGTCCCCCGCCCCTACTTTTGCTCTCTGCCAGTTGGCCCACTATCCAAGGAGCTCATGCCAGGCGAGTCAGGGGTTAAAACGAACACTGTCCCCCTGGGGCGGCCAACTCCCTTGCGTCAGCCACTGTCATTTCCTGTTGCTCATGTGCAGGGCTCCCCAACCTGCCTAGCCAGGAGAGGGACTGGCTTCCCAGGAATCCCAGGTGCTCCTGGCCCTGGGGGCAGGGCAGATAGTGCCCCACATCCCAGCAGCCTTTAGGGCCTCTCTCCACTCCACCTGCTCTGTGGGTTTTCTGGGGGTGACGGCCGGTCATGGCCTGGATGGAGATCCCCAAGCTCACTTTCAGGCTCATGCCAAGTTCAGGGATAGACACACCTAACTAAGCAGGGTGAACTCCCTTCCCTCCCACCCAGGTGCCCAGGACAGCTGAGTGGAGAGTACTAGTCAGTCCCTCCAGATGCTTGGGAACTCCCACCTGGTGACCTCAGAGCTTCCCAAAGCCACTGGCTAACAACATCGGAATGAGGCACTGCTGACTGCTGACTGCTGGCCTGAAGTGTGAGGTAGGCCATCGGCCTCTGCTTTCCTCCATAGATGCTTTCTGCACTTGCGTCCAGCTGCCTGGGTCACCTGTCCGGGGCACCTCACACACGAGTATCCACCCCTGGAGCAGTGGGCAAGGAATGCCTGAGCATAGGTGGAGGATGTGGGTGGGTGGGTGGAGGGGGCAGTATCCACGTTCCCAAACCCGGGAGTTCTCTCTACTCCTCTCAGCCCCCGGAGTCTCAGATGGGGGCCCCTAACCTCTAGCCTGTCTCTAGTGGCTCTACCTGTCAGGCGCCGGCAGCCACTGACCCACCCGCTTAGTACCTAATCCTCTTGCCTGCTTGGCATGGGTCATCCAAGGGAATTTTGGTCCCTCTATGTCTCTGGCTCCGAGTAGTTTCCCAGGACTTGGAGGAGGAGGAGGAGGAAGAGGAGGAGAAGGAGGGAAGCGGCAAGACAGAGAAATGGGAGATGACAGTAAGAATCTTGGCTGGTGGAGAAGACGGGGCGGGGTGGGCCTGGGATTGTGCATCTATAGGGTACTTCTTGGTTTGAGGGAGGGAGAGGTGAACATCTCTACACTTCTAACAAAAGACAAATGGGTCTCCAGGCAATCTTGATCTTCATAAACTCTGCTTCATAAACTTCCACCTAGGGGCTTTCTGGGTGGCCCCCTCCCCTGGGCAGGGTCCCACTCTCCTCCCCTCCACCTTAGGGCTTTATCTTTTTGGAGCGTTGGGCCTTGCCCGCAGCACTCAGCAGGCCCAGCAGGGCAGCCTCTCACACGTTTTCCCCAACTCACTAAGGAGAGCCTGCAGGATGCCAGGAGAAGCCTGGTAGCAAAGAGGCAGCTACTGACCTGGGTCCTGGGGCACTGGACAGGGCTTGGGGGGTTTCTCCGTCCCCAGGAAGGCCGGGCCGAAGTGCAGGGCCCAGAGGCTGGAGTCTGACTAGGGCCTGGGTAATCCGGAGCTCAGGTTACGGCGGACTCCGATATATATAGTATCTTATCTGACCTCGCAGACATGGCTAGCGCAACTCACTTGCATTCCGAGCCCAGGGAGAATTAAAGGGGCAGTGGCATGTCCACTTCACAGGCTTCCTGGACAGGCCAGCGCCAGGTGAGGAGCCCTGCTGGGAGCCACGAAGGGGCTCTGAAATGGAACAGAGGGGATGGCCAAGGAGACAGAGAACTGGAAAGAGGCAGGAGGGTGGGGGTGAGGGTGGGGTGGAAGTGGCAATCAACAACAGCAGAACAAAGGCTTTCTGGAACTGCCACTCACAGAACCAGCAAACACGAAGCAGTGCAGCTACCTGGACTCAGTGAGCCTGAGCGAGTCTGTAGCCATCGAGCCCTTGCCCACGGACACACAGCGAGTGAGTGGCACACAGGCACCTGCTCACTGGTTTTCGGTCCAGTGGACTTCTAGAGCTGGGCTTGAATTTCAGTTCTTCTCTGACCACGGGAGAGTCACCTAAGCTCCCAAAATTTCAGTCACTGAAGCTGGACAGCAGGAATAATACATTGATAATAAAAATCCTTTGCCTCATCAGGGTTGTGATGGTTAAATACTATTTATACTTTTCCTGGCACATAGTAAGAGTTTAATAAATGATGGGAATAATAACTGTTCTATTGAACACACCACTGGTTAGTCGTATAATTACCCATGGTGAACCTTCCTAGGAAAAGGGCCTGCAGCTATCTTTGGGGAGCACTCTGTTCCAAAGCCAGGTAACTCCAAAAAACCTCGCTGCTGTTGAGCCGATGCAGACTCATCCCAACCTTGCTGGACAGGCTAGGACTACCCTGGTGGGTTTCTGAGGCTCTCCATCTTTCCAGGAGTAGAAAGCCTCATCTTTCTCAGGAGGAGTGACTAGTGGTTTTGAACTGCTGACCTGTGGTTAGCAGCCCAATGCGTAACCTACTTCGCCACCAGGGTTTCTGGCCAGACAACAGCCCCGTGGATTTCTGAACTGGCCTGTGATTTGTCACGTTCCCAGGAAGTACAGTTCACTAAGAAGCATCATCAAGCTCAAAGGGGCTGCTTCCCTCTTTGCCTGGCAAAACAAAACGGCAGCTCCCCCCCAGGGCCCCAAGGGAATGCCTGCCCTTCTGGGCTGGCCCCACTCTACCTGAAGAAGGCTCAAGATTCCAGGGCCAGTGAGCCGGGCTGGGGCTGGGCCACAGAGAAAGGAGCGGAGTTCTCAGCTTCCCAGGCCTTGCTGCACCTGTCTGCTTCCAGGATGTTCCTTCTATCTGGACGGCTCTCCCGGAGGACTGGGAATACCCCAGGCTGGTGCCTCCACCCTCTCTCAATAGAGGCTACTCACTGACTCAGCCCCAGGTCCTGATGATGCGCTTGCGAGGACGCCCTCCTCCTGGCCCTCATTCCAGCCCTCATTCCGACTCTGGGCTGGCATGCAGCTTAGGCATCAAAGGAGTGGACGGTGACCAGCCTGAGTCCAAGACGCTTCTAATTCTCAGCTTCACAGGGTCTGACTAAAACTTGGGTGACGACCTCAGGCCATGCCATGCAGGTGAACAGTCCCTTCGGGAGTCCTCAGTCACGCATGGTTCTCAAAGCATCAGGGATGCCCTCCCCCTTCTCCCCGAACGCTAGCGCGGTGGCCTGGGCTTCCCTGGGCTGCAGGTTACAAGTTGGTGCCTGGGAGCACTGCACGCCTGGCGCTGGTTTGGGATTGGTGGGAATTTCAAAGATGCCTCGTGATTCGGGAGGAGTGGGGACAGCTCCTCTTCCGTCTCAACTGCTGGCCACCTCCTGTCCCTCACTTTGGCGCCCTGACTGCAGCCATCCCGGGGGTGCAGGGCGAGGAGGGGCCAGGGGGCGGCACGCATACGTGGGAGGGGACTGTCAGAGTCCCGGGCGGGCCGGGGACGGTGGCGTCACTCTCAAGCCACAAGCCTCCCGGGCACGGCGACCGGGACCCTCCGAAGCAGCGCTCCCCCAGCACACCCTGCTCGGCACACAGATGGCTCCCGCAGGCACCCCGGCTGCTAGCTGGCAGCCCCCGTCACACAACTGGCCCCCAGAGCTGGAGCTCCCCCGCACCGCAGGCGCTCGCCCTACATGGCCAGCGCCCCTCCTGCCACGGCTGCCGTCGACACACCTCACTTTCAGAGCCTCCAATGGGCCAGGACCTCGGGCCCCCGCCCTCGCTCTCCGACAGGTGGCACGTACCTGCCGCTGGTCGGAGGATGGACGCGTGGAGCCGGGCACGAGCATGGAGCCGCGGGTCAGTCCCGGCTGGCGCTGGCGCGGCAAAGTGAGCTGCGGCTGACGCAGAGGGCTCCCTGGCCTCGGCTCCCGCCCGCCTCTCCCCCACCTCCGCCGGGGGCCCCGAAAGGACCTCCGCGGGAAATCGGCGCCACCCAGCGGGCAGCCGCCTCATTGCGCCCGCGCCGGCCGGGCCACGCCCCGCGCCTCGCGTCACTGAGACGCCTCGTGGCTATTGGCTGATCTGATTGTGGCGTCGGGGGCGCCCCGCCCGCCCGGCCGCGGTCTCCCAGGCAACTGATATATACAAAAAAAAAAAAAAAAGGAAAACCACGTGGAGGGAAAGCCAGCGAGTTCGGAGCGGGCGGAGCACGAAAGGACTGGAGCGTGGCCGCACCGGGTGCCTGGAAGGTACTGGGGAAAAGGAGCTGGGAATTTGAGTCCCGGGGCAATTCAGCTTCCAGATGTTGTTGCTGCCCAGGCGTCCGCAGGACTCCTGTAGACCGCAGAAGGAGCATCCTCAAGCCTCTGTATCAATCCGTCTCCTTGAGATGCGTCAGCCTTTCCACTGACCCTCTGCGCTACCAAGCATGACCGCCTTTTCCAGAGATTGAACACATGTCCAAAGTGCAGTCTTGTCTTCCTAGCTTCTTCTAAGGAGTATTCTTGATGTACTTCTTCCAAGCCAGACTCGTTCCTCTTTCACTGCCTAGCTTTCACACACAGGTGAGGGCATTGGAAGGACCATGGCTTGGGCCAGGTGCACTTCAGTCTGTACTAGTCAGGGTACTTTAGAGAAACATCCACAGAAACTGATGTATAAAAGAGAGTTTTATATAAAGGTTAAGTGCACATCAAGTAAACATACCAACCCAGTGCTGCCCAAGCCTACAAGTCCAACATGAACCCATTAACCCCTATGTCCAACACCAATCCACAAAGTCCTCCTCCATCTCACAAAACAGACGCAATCATGCCGACTGCAGGAGGAAAGCCGAGTCAGTTAATTACACATCTCAGCGCTGGCAGGGGTCTCCACGCGGCTGCTCCAGCACCCAGGGCTGCATCGTGGTAGGTCCATATGGCTTCTCAGGGATGTCTTGCAGGAAGAGAGCTTGCTAGCTGAAGCAGGGAACTGGCTAAGGCAGCTGCACCCTGGTCTGACCATCACAAAGCCAGAGACCTAAGAACTAGAAAGGTGAGGCTCACTGAGCCATTTATCCCGCCGCCCTTCAATTAACCCCACATGTGTTTATTGGCCAGGTTGGCACAATAAACTAACTACCTCAGTCTTCAAAGTGACATCTGTGCTCTTTCAAAACACATTAAAGACACCTTTCGCAGCAGATTGGCTCAGTGCAAGAGCAGCATGATTTTCTGACTGCTGCTACCTTGAGTGTTGACTGTGGATTCAGGTAAAATAATGCCATGGACAACTTCAGTCTTTTCTCCGTGGATCATGGTTTTGCTGGTCCAGCTGTGAGGATTTTTGTTTTATGTTGAGTCAATAACTGAAGGCTGTGGACTTTGGTCTTCATGCGTGTTTCAAGTCCTCTTGCCATCCGCATATTTCAAGTTGTTTAATAAGTCTTCCTTAGCAATGGCTAAATATTCTCTCCCCTTCCCACCTGGCTGAAGGAGGTTCTGTTTTTAAAGCTGTGCCTCTCTGTCTTTAAACATCTCTTTATTCCAGCTTTCCCTTTGACATCGGGTAGGCTCCACTTCTCCCCCCACCCCAAACACCACGTGAGCTACTTATCTTAATTTTGTAGCTTCCTCTTCTTCCCATGGCACATGTTTCTTCAACTGTTAAAAACAATGGGTATAGTAATAAGTCCCTGCCTCATAGGGTTGATTTGAAGATGAATGAATTAACATGCATAGGACACTCGCCACAATGCCTGGCATGTGGACAAACCTGGTCCATTGCTCATCTGCCAGCTACTGCTGGTAGGGGTCAGTGAATCCCAGATCAAGGAGTCCTCTGTGTGAGCGCCAGTCACACTTCTCCACCTTTCTCCCGGCCCACCCTGGCCATCAGATCCTGTGGGCAGCTCAACGCCAGCACCATCGATCCTGAAGCCATTCCCACTCAGTTGTTCCCCTTTCCTCCCCACGTCTGTGAATGGCACCATCTTCTACCCAATAGCTACCCAGAGATTCAAGTTTCTAGTTTCCTCCACCCCTTCAATTTGTAAGAGGTATTTATGATCTTATCTATGCACTCGGCTATGCAAGAGACATGCCTTTTTCTTCATTAGGATTACAGATCTGTATTGCCAACAGCAGGACCCACAAAAGGAAGGTCTTGCTTTACACGACATATTTCAGCATATCTGTTCTCCGGGCTTGGGTTATTTCTGTTTTCTGAAGGGCTGAGGCAAATGAAATTCAAAAATACCAAAAATACCGCAAGTGACTGCCTATTCTCCCTCTCCCGGCTGCTGCTCTCTGTTGCCACATCCTCTCACGGAGGCCAAGCACACAAGCTTATCTTACTTAAAGTGGAGACATGGCGGAAATGAGACACAAATAAGAAACCGTATATTTTTAAAGAAAAATACCATTTTACCATATTCCTTACATCCAAGTAGGGGCCCCTTCACTTTGAGTCAATCTCTTTAACATCTCGTACGAATGCTTCCCTCTCCATCCGCATTGCCTCCGTCTCAGTCCACAGTTCGTCGTTCCGTTTCCCCTAGTGCTTCTTCCCAGC